TCCCCTCATGTGCCCTGCAGATGTTAATATAAGTCTTCCTACAAAAATAAATATCTCAGTTGTCACTTAGGCAAAAAAGGCACGTGGTTATGACTCAGGCATAATAATCTCCTAGTGATTAAGAAGAAAGAGACAATGAAAAAAAATGAGGACAAAGGGCAAGAAAATAAAATTGCAAAGAGAGAAACTATTACCTTGATTCCATCTCCACATCTACCTGGATCCAGGATCTAAGAAAAGTCAAGGATCCTTTACTTTTCCTCTGGCTCAAAGTGGCCAGGAGCCAGAGCCCTCTCCACGCAGTTGCCACCCAGGCTCTCCCTCTCATTTAAGAAGACTCTGCTTCATTCCCCAAATCTGTTTTTTCTCCTGAAGTCACCGACTTTCAAGCCCCAGCATATTGTGATTCACCCAGTCTGGGCATGATGGGGAGCTGCCCATGCAGAGTCCCCATCGTTGGAGGTTGGACAGGACAAACTCAGAATATGAGGTTTCCCTTTTAACAACGTGTAAAGATCTCATGGTAGCTATTCCTGATGATAGAGACAGATGCAGTAAAGAGGTGGGGAGTAACTACAGAGCCCTGTAGTTACTCACTTCATTAAGCTTTAATTGTAACTATTTCAAGGTGCAGCCCCAGCACCATAATCAGATCCCGAGGTGGCCGAGGCACAGATAAGTGTAATGAGCCTTTCTCCAAAATGAAAGGCCTGCAGTTTTCTCCCCAGACACTAATGGTACAAAACCGAGTTAGAAAATGCTGTCAGCAGGAACAGAGAGAAGCTGGGGATCCGAGAAGACCTCTAGGCTATGGAATTGAGAAACAGCGAGGAGGAGGATGCTATTAACCCGAGTTGCTGGTTTAACTTCTGTTTCTCCTAGCTGCATCTCCAGCTTTCTCCAGGAAGCATCCCAAGTAAATCTCCACCATCCTGAGCTCACTCGTACCTCGCTTTCTGTAAAACCACTTACCATATTGGCAAGACCAGAAAGAAGAGAGATAGTGATTGAAACAGAGCTGGCACCGCTGCTCCCTCCTTCCACCTGCCACCCCTGGTTCCACTTTGGCTCTGCTGGTAGCGGGTGGTGAGCGGTTTCCTAAGCCCCGACCTTTGATGCGTCAGCCTCAAGTGGGGAAGGAACCGTCTGGGCACCTGCAGCTGAGGATGCGTCAGCCCCCAAGGAGACTGCTGAGCCAGAGGAACTGAGACAGCCACTGCAGTCAGAAAATGAGCGTTCTCGTACAATCCAGCGCTGATGTCCAGGCAGGAAATAGAAATGAACTTTGGAATAAGAGTCAACAATTGTGAATGAATGAAAATGGGAGCAAGGCTACCAGAACCCCTTCATTTTGGTGATGTCACGCTTCCCAAATGCCCTTCAGAGATGCAAATTGCCTACAATGTAATAAAAAGGGCATTTTCTACAGTGTGCAGAGCTTGCATAGTTTAATTAAGCATAAACTAGGGTGACTCTGTAAAGGAAAATGATGTGGATTGCATTCTCTGAGTGACCTTGGAAATGTGCTTAGATACTTTCTCTGCACAGCAATTAAATAAAGTCACACTTTGTATTCTGTCACGCGCATCCTTTTCTTTTTGTTGGAAATATGTATTTTTGTCTTCGCCGATTCCCTGCTCTTGCACTGGTTCAGCTCTGTGCTTAGCAAATATGACTTCTCTCCCTCACAGTAACTAATCAGTTGCCTAAAGTCTCACCAGGTCTACTTTTCTAATCTCTATTTCAATATTACCTGTATTAAACTTCTGCCACCTGTTTTCCTTATTCTGAGTAAATAGCAAAACTGGAAGAAGGGGATGCCAACTGAAGTGTCTTTTCTTGTCTTCCCAATACCCGTATCATCTTTCCCAACCTGTCTCACAGACTGCATTTGCCCTGCCTTCCTGCCTGGCTGCATCACATCCTTCTGTAAATCCTTCTAGTATGGCTTGTCCAAGCCCCAGTGCTTCTTTTCAATACTTTCTTCACCCAAACATGGTGTCAGGTTAAATTTGACTTTTTCCTGTTTGGTTTTATGTGGAATCATGTCCAGCTCACAATGTGTGCAGCTCCTCCATGCCGGGTACTTTGATGCCTTGGGACTTGGACATTATTCTCTCTCAAAAGAGATCTAAAATACCAGGACTTTCCTAGTACTTCATAACAGGGAGCTCATCTTCCCACAACTTTTCTCACATTAGAGATTTTCCAAAGCACTTCTGCAGACCAGCACTTATCTCTGTGGTAAGAGCAGCAATTGCTTATAAGGGACAGTAGCACTGGTGGCAGGTGAAGTTTTTGTAGCCAGCACTTGCAATGCTTTAGCAGTACTTGTTTTGTAGAGATCATACACCACGTATGCAGTCAGCTCTGCTAGAGTTTGAAGATCAAAAGCCTAGCAGATCACTGAGCCTGGAGTTTGGCAAAAAGCAGCCCAAAAAAGAGACAAAGCAAGAGATGCTGAGAGGCTGGTTTCCAAACACTGAAAAAAGGAGGACAAAAAAAAAAGGGCAAAAAAAAAAAAAAAAAAAGCAAAGCAGCATGAGCAGCTGCTGCTCCACCTCTCCTGGGTTAGGGTATGTGACAAGGATGTGTAATTGGTGGCTGCAGGCACTGCGACCAAGAGGGAGCCGCAGCAGCAGCTCGGTCTGCGGGACAGGGCCGCGTGGGGCCGCGTCCTGCTGCTCCCCACGCAGTCTCCTTGGGCTTCGGCACTCAGAGGGGCTCTGGGCTGTCCTGCCCTGCACTCTGCGGGGGACCCTTCTCTTGGGAACATTGTTCCCTTCGCGTCTCGCCGTGACTTTCAAGGGGGAATAGGAATAGAAACTTCCAGAGGAAGAGCTGAGAAAGGTGGTGAAGCATGGGGAAGAAGTGAACTGGCAAGGGCACAGAAATAGCGGGGAACGGCGCTGTTTGAACCACGATGTAGTTTCAATGAACCACAGCACGAAGGCAGCTGACTCATAAGAAGGTGGGATACCCAAAAGGGAAGCAATGATCCCTGAGCAATTGCATCCCATTACGGTATGTCAGAGATGCCTTTGATGGCATAAGCCTGTAATTAGTTACGGGCAATTTTGCTATTTTTGAAGAAAGAGAAGGAAACAAAAAGAATTATTCCTTGTATTAGGGAGTAGCTTGTTCAAGTCTTGCTTTAAATAAAATTTGTTCACTGTTGATATATTTAATCTCATGATTTCAGAATAAACGTCAATGATCCAGTAAAATTTAGACAACCTTAAGAGTCCACAGGAGAGATCTGAAAGTCCGCTGAGTTATTTTAAGGTTTGGTTCTCATCCCCTCTGCATTTGAGAAGCCCACTTAACTACTGACTGTTTGAGAAGGAAGGTCTCCCGGTTCCGTAGCTCTTGGTGAAGAAAAAGGAAGAAAACAAAGGGATTTGGCAGGAGCCGGGAGCTGCGTTTCACGCCCGGCAACGCTAGAGGGGGCAGGAGGAAAGCGAGGGAGCAGCAGGAGCCGGGAGGCGCCGGGACCCGGCCAGAAACCAGCAGGCCCAACTCACTCAGTGTTTCCCAACGCAGAGATGCTCCAGTCCCTTAATGATCGTTGTTGCTCTCTGCTCTGTTGCTCTCCAGAAGCTCCACATCCCTCCTGTCCTGCTCTGGGCGGCCCACAGAGCTGGGTGTTCATGCAGAGCACGGGCCGTGGCTGCAGTTGGGGAGCTCCCGGTTACGAAGCTGCCACGGGTGCCACAGCGAGTCTGCACGGGGCCCTCCGGCCCCTCTGGTCAACGCGACCACCCTCCAGGCGAGCCATGGATGCGCTCAGCACCGCCCGGGCCTAGCTCGTGTTCCTGTGGTACATGCCAGGAGCAGGAAATAATGGGCCACCTTCCAGCTAGCGTGAAGGGAGCTCCCAGGCCTGAGCCACCTCCGCTCCCGGGAAGCCCCGGCACCCCCCAGTCCCGGCAGCGACGCCGGCGTCGCAGGGCAGATTCAGTAACACGCACAGGCACCGCGCAGAGCCTCATTTACTACCGTTTATTCGTATGCTGAAAGAGTACACACGCGTGTCAGTAGCATGGAGGGCATCGTCTCCTCCTCACTAAAAAAAGCTAAATGTATGTACAGCCTTTAAACGCTCCCCATGTAGCTACCGTACCATATTAAATGTACTTTATATAAACTACTGCTCTTGATATCATTGTATGTATTGGAAAATGCATTAAAAATTACCAAGGGGCATGTTCTGTTATCCATTCTCAGTGTCCTGTACTTCTGCCTGGTGTTCTGACAGGCGCAGTAAATTATGGCTATGCATAGTTTATTTACTACCCAAAACAACGTATATTACAGGATACAGGCCAGGGAGACAACACTATTGTTGCATTTGACAAGGCAGAAAGAAAGAGTAATTTAGGCGCTTCGTAGCGGCTGTTATTCTGGCTGTGATCTGGAGCTCTTCCCTGGGAGCAGAGCAGAACATGGCTCCTGTTGAGATGCTGCCTCATTCACTTCTGCAGAACACCTTGCAACCCCTTCTCTTCACCGGCTGGTCCCTCTGCTGCTTTGATCCCAGGCTGGTCCTGGCACTAACTTGGCCAAGAGCGGCCGCTCCCGGGTCTGACAGGTCTGCAAAATCCATCCTGATCCCATGTGGATGAGCTGCGCTACCAGCGATCACTTCATCCCGGTTATTAAGCCCATCTCTGCAGAGACTGTTTTAATTTCATTCTATTTGATAGCCAAGTCTCAAAGCCCCTTGGCTCTTGGATAGTGCACGTTTGCTACTAGATACAAAAGCCCTTTGTGCCCTCCCCTTGTCTTCCTTCTCATCAGAAATAAAATCTAGCTTCTTTAAACCAGCTTTTTGGACTTAGGCCCCCCGCTGAGCTGGGGTATGAGCAGTGAGTCTCAAAAGGAGGGGCCAGCACGCTGAGAAAGGCCCCTCCTGGGCAGAGCTGGGCATGCACAGTGGGTAGAGGGCAGCGAGAAGCCAACCCATAACACAGGCTAAAGACACTGCTCGCCAGCTCTGCCCGCTGTGCGTGGTCAGGCTCTGAAAAGCAAACTGAGGAGACAGTAAGAAACTGCATTCATGGTCAGCGGTGCTAGCCCTACCTCAGCTCTGGGATTCACAGTCAGCCGTGCTAGCTCTACCTCAGCTCTGCGGGACGGCTTCGCTTAATCCTGGGAGAGCTACTGTGGATGCTGCCGCCGCGGGCATCTCCAGGGGCCGTGCCCGAGGCCTCGGGGTGCCGCAGTGGCTCCACGCAGCCAGAAACAAACCCGGCGGGCACCTACACGGGACAAAAGTTAACATGGAGTTTAAAAACACAGCTTAATGAGTTATATCTGTTGGGACAGGAATGATTTTATTTCATAGCACCTGGACAAATTTGGTGAAGACGGGGATTTTCTGGGTCACTGGGAGTTTATGGCTCCTCATGGGAGCATCCCCCGCTTCCGAGGCACCATCTGCCTCCTGGATGTCACAAAGCCTGTGAGGGGCATCTCTGTTTGTGGCAACGGGGCAGGTGTCTGCAGGTCCAAGGCAAAGAGCGAGGCTGGGGCCGCACAAGAGGCCGCGACGGCCTCCGTCACAGGACAGCAAGCAGAGGAGAGTGCCACGCGCTCTGCCCGCCTTGCGCAAAGCCCTGTTGTTCCCGGGACCGGAGCGCAGCAGGGACAGGCTCACGGCATAGCAGGCTCATCGGGAGGGAAGTTTAACAACACATAGTGTGGGGTGAAACAAAAGGCAGCGCTGAGCGGCAGCTTCTTTTGGATTCAGGCGCAGACAGCCTGGCACAGGCTCTGTCCATGCCCGGAGCGCCCTGCTGAGGATGAGGGAGCGTCTCTATCTGGAGCCACCCGAGATATTTTTAGAGTACCCAATATAGCGTGGTCTGTTCACATCCTGCTGTTCAATCTGACTTTTTGTCCAGCATCATGGCAAAAGCCTGGAATGATCAAGAGGAAAATTCCTATTTTGAAACAGGGTTAGGCGTCCCTTGAAACGGCTCCAGGTGCCTTGGTTTCAAAAGATTTGGTGCCACCAAAGTAGCACTTGGATCTCAGACAGGAGAATTCCCCAAACACAGCTTGTGATGACCTGTGCCTGCATTCACGGCTTGGGGCTGCACGGGAGCGGGAATGCTGGAGAATAATGAGCTCCCCGTGTGCAGAAGAGCTCCAGCTCAGAGGATGTGTGACACAGATGTATCGTTCAAACTAAATTTAAGCTGTGCTTTCTAGAAAAGCACGACAGATTTCTTGCTTCTTAAAATACCCCAGAAGCTACCTGGAATCATCAGGAAGACTGTGGCTGAAGGCCAGATGAGGTGTATTTATGGAAAAGTTATTAATACTTTATGAATTGGGCTGAGCTTGCACTTGATTCCCTCATGCCACCAAGCAGCTCTCTGTCACTTTCACAGTATTAACCCAACACTGTTAAGATGCCACCATCCAGAAGTGACAGACCCTTCTTTTCCTGGCTACCCAGCACTTGTGGTCTGGGCTATTTGCAATACACAATCTGTTACTGAAATAAATACCGATTAAGGGAAGAAAAATAGCAGTGGATTATGGCTTTCCTTTTGATCTGCAATGAATTAAAGTGATGCCTTAGGCTTATTATAAACCACAAAGATTTTGAAGACATTCCTCAAGAACTAAGCAAGAAGTGCATTTTGGAAAGCTGCTGTTCACTTTTACAGCTCATCAGCAACTATGTACAACTGCCTCCCATCTTAAATAGCACTACTGAGATGTTAGTTGAGGAACTGAGACCTTTCTATGCATGGTTTCCTCTCTGTTTTTTGTTTGTTTGTTTAATAACATAACCAATTTAAGGCAGTTTTCGGGGTAAAATGCAGACCAATGTCAAAATTAATCCTAATGCATAGCATTCTCCTCTGAACGACTGCAGATTGTAACATGTTCTTGAAAAAGGCTAAAATGGACATGACATGCAGCAACCAAGTAGATGCAATCCCTGATTAATAGGCAAGTTTCAAAAGTCCGCAAAATGCTGTCGCAATCCACAGGTGCCCCCTATTTTTGGACAGGTCTCTCTGTTTTGCTTGTGTATAAATGCCATTCTAAATGCATTTCACTCCAGCAGCTTCTCATAAACTCAGGTCAATGATGATATGTTCAAATATTTGTGTGTTTCCTTTAAAACTAGAAGCAAAGAAAAAATCTCGTCGATCCGTTGACACGGCTGTGAATGAACGTGGTGCCTGCACGTAGATTTCTTTGAACAACCTGAAGAGCTTCTTCTCACCGTCCCACTGGTATATCTGGGAGAAGGTATAGTCACTTCCCAAGGCCAGGTAGTGATTCCTCTTGAAGGAGAAAGGCTGCAGTATCATGGCTCCGCGGGACGGAAGAGCCTGGATCTCCACAAACTGTTTGCTATTCCATTTCATGACTCTGGAGTCGCCAATGAACCTCGTGAGGGTGATGAACAGGTTGCTTTCCATCCTAAAACTCTTCACAGCCAACACGTCCTCCATGTTGGGGATTTCACCGTGTGGGACAAACTTCTTTGAAACTTTGTTCCACTGGAGTATGATGGGAACCTGTGAGCGGCTAGAGAGGATTAAATGCGACTTCCCATCTATATCCAGAAACTCGGCATCAGTGTCCCTGAACCACTCGTGAAGTGACTGGTAGGAGTAGAAACCTTTGTTATTCCACTTGTACACTGTTGACAAGCCTGCCTTCGAGCTATCTGCAATAACAAAAAACATCTCGCTGTCTATCTCAAAAAGCTCTATGTCATTTGGCTTGGAAATGCGAGACACTTCGATATCCTGGAATTTAACAAACTTTGTCCAGCTTTCGTCATACTTGTAAATGTGTGAGCCACCAAAGAGCTGTGCCACCACCACAAAGACTTGGTCACCAACAAGAATGGCTTTACATCCCACTATGGACTGACCTATGGCCCAAGGGAAAAAAGCACATATATTAGCACAGTGCGAAGCAACATACTTAGAATACAGAGATTTGTAAAATCACCCCATTCCCATCCCCTTTTTGAACCTTCACCATCTCATAATCCTTTCTGTCTTTTAGTGCACACCACCAGAACGTCTTTTCATGCTGTATCACACATGTCTTTTTTGTTTTCTGCCCAGCAACTGGAAAGATGACTTCAGATGTTGGAACAATCACACTCCTTGAGGTGTGCAAGTTTGATGCACCTTGAAACACTTGCTTCTTTCTATCCAGAATACTTTTTCTTTCTCTGTTTGAGCACCTGCTCCTTAATATCCAAAATAAATATCTGAGACAGGTTTTACCACTACAAAATAGCAAGAGTTGTTATTTCATGACTTGACAGGAATTTGCAATTCTCTTACTCTTGGAATATCTGCGTTTCCTGTTTTTGGTTTTTGCTCCAAGAAGGCAGACCCTCATTTTCATTATTGTAAATGGAAATATTGATATATCCTTTGGATACAGCATCTGACAGCAAGATCAACAGATGAACTTAACTTTGTTGTTTCTTTTAAAATTTTCCAAGTATTCCTGATATTCCAGATTTACATTCAACTTCAAGTATTAAGGAATAATGCAGCTGCCAAACAAGACCAGATCAGGTTAAGGTCCATTTTGACAAGCTACACAAGATCCTCATCTAAAAGGGTAATAATCAGACAATTTATGAAAGCACCTATGGCAAGAAAAGAGGAATTCCTCTTGAGCTGACCATCCAAGTCCCATCTGGCCTCATCTAGTCTTAAAAAAAAAAAAAAGCTTCTAGAAAAGAATTAATCTGACTATCTGTCTATTGCAGAGAGAGGGCAAGAATGCCTATTTCTCTGCATAGTGACTAAAAAGGCCATCTTGACAACTGGTTCAGGTCCATTTCTCCATGCTGTAAAGAGCAAAATTTGGATATCTGAAGGCCAAACATACAGTTACTAATACAACTCTCCATGGAGTGTGTAGCTGGATCCTGAGCTCTCCAAAATGCTCTTCAGGCTCTGGAGAAGGCTCCTACCTTTGTGCACTTGGACAGAAGTGTCTAGGTCACTTATATCTGGAGTCCAGAGCTTAAGCTCCGGCCTTCCAAAAACCCAGGTGTGTCATTTGAGAAACTGAGTCTTGGCGCACGCACTGGGTGTGCAAAGGAGCAGACACAAGCCCTGAGTGGAAGTGTCTCCTTATCATGCCGTTCAGATGAAGGTGAAATATGTCTGGAAGACAAACTCACACAAATGAACTATTTCACCAGCTGTCTTGCCCAACTTTGCAAATGACCTAAGCTCTCAAATCATTTCCATAGTTCTATAGAGCTTTCTGCTGGTTCTCTTCAGTTCATCTCTTTACATCCACTGGCATCTACCAACATGTAATGGAACCTAAAATACAAAATTTTCCATTTCCAAAACCTCCTGGCAGGGAGGCAGCACCCTGTAAACTTTCAGAAGTGACACAAAGCTGATCTGAGGAAGTAGCTGCTGGTTGGCTTTGTGAACTCCCCGGAGCAGCTGCTGAAGACACACTATGCTCTTTGGTAGCAAGACAGCAAGGTAGGAAGTAATCCATCACACATAACAAGCAACAGGAGGAAAGGATGCTTCATGGATAAATTTAGCTCCAAAGTCTTCAGAACTAATGGCTTGAGGTCGCTGGGAAGCCTGACAGTGTGTGATAGCTCTAAAGACTGTCCCTGCTGTCTGCAGACACAGTCCGGACTGACTGAGCTTTGTGCAGCACAAGAAATGTGAGCTCGGGACAGCACAGTTCAGTGCATTAGAAAGTCACCTGGTATCCACATGGGCACTGGTGTGGTAAGGGATCTACTCAGGATGAAAACTGAGCACTTTTGTAAATGCAATGTAAACCTGGATACTTTATAGTACACCTGCTTAGGTAACAGTCACAGCTTAAACATTTCAGCTGTGGGACAAGCTTTACTGACCCTAGAGGGACTCTCTTCATCTATTTCTTTCCACACACATTTGGGTTTGAAGGTATTTGGGCAATATTAACAGTTTCTTTAAGTGTTCTTTAATGTACAGCATAATATAGGTGGTGTCGAAGCTGGGCCACAGCATGACATGCATAGAAAGTGTTTGTGCCTTCAGACCTGTCAGCAAGACCAAAACTCTCACACAGACAAGAAAAAAACTAGTTTGTGTGCTGTAGTGAGGGTAAAAGCATAGGTGCTACAAAGAACTACTCTATAAAATCAATCTTGTCCAAATCTTATGTGCTTTGAACTGCTCATTTCAGAGATTCAGGACAGAAAGGATCAACAGGTTCCCACCTATGAATTTCCTCTTCACAATTTCTCCTTCTGAAACGCCAGTAACTGGAATCTCAATGTTCATATACCTGTGATATTGTCATAACTCCTGAAATTCATTTCAATGTGATCCCACTCCAGGACCATGCAATTTTCCATGCTGGGCTGTGCAATGGCTACGAACACATCGTTCTTAGAGTTGAATGTATCCACGGACACTGAGTGGTAGGGCAAAACCTGGTGAACAACAAAATCTAGAAACACACATTGAGAACAGTTAGGATACTTCCTGGCTGGGAACACAAAACAAGTGATTGGTGATTACAACCATCAACACTGAAAATCTTTTCAATGGGATAGTCTGGATTGTGTGTAACATGGAATTGCCAGTGCTCACGTGTCAGGCATGCACCCGACAGGAAAGAGTCTCCTATCTCAGGCATCAGAAACTGTACTCTGGAAAAACATCTTCCAAGAAGATCAAGATAGGCAAATAGTGCCAGAATTCCGATTTTGCACCTGTTTTGGCTGATATCAGTGAATTCAAGATATGTTCACACAGTCACATGCCGCTGAGGGAGAAGCCTCTTTCCCCTCAGCTGGAAGTTGCTTTCCCATCAAGTGAAATGGCCTCGCTACAATCACTTTCAAGCTGAGAGGCAACAACTTCCAACTCAAGTCCAATAACTTGTTAAAGACATGCAAATTTCATCACTTGCAATTTGTGTTATGCTAAACCAGGCAGAAAGTGAAATTATATCTGAAGTTTGCCTGGGGACAACCCCATTTTGGCTATGCCGTAGACAAAGCGGTGTAATCAAAAACTCAGTTAACATAACATTTTATGGGACACTGTAAAGCAGTTTAAGCATAAAATATGACCAACCTGCAAGTTACTATCTGGTGGAAAATGTGTCTGAGATTCTAAAACCAAGGACTTGAAGCAATCTATTAAGAATCTAACTCCCAAGCGTAAGATTCCTTCTCAAAAACCAAGTGTCTTTGTAAACTTAGTTCTGAAACTGGCCTTGTGCTAAGTCAGTAGTCAGCTTACAGCCTGTGTGGGGCAGAATGGGTAAACTTGACCCTGAATTTGGGTGGGTAAACTTGACCCTGAATTTGGGATTTGTACTTGACAGCTGGGAAAGGTCATTAATTTTCAGTTAAAAAAAAATAAAAAATAAAAAATAAAAATCAATACTGCAGAGTTGACACAGGAAAAACGTTTATAACATGCTTCAATCTAGAATGTGGCAGAAGACCTGGGGTTTTATAACAGATACAGTTGTACAGAAAAGGAAATGAGCCTTCCACTAAGGTGAAACTTCTTTGCAGGACCAGCTATGCCTCTGTATTCAGCTTCATTCGCTGCATGTTTCGCCACTCATTCCTGCTTCAGAAGGGCCCGAGCATCCAGGAATTTTGGTGAAATGTTAATTAAGTCCTCACTCGAATCCTTCATTTTGGTCCATTATAAAATAAATGCTTTCAAATGAGGAACCTGACACCTACGCATGCTTGAAAGCTCTGCCCTTGAGGAGACAGACTTCTGCAGAGTAAAGATAGACCCCTACAACTGAGCAAATATAGCAGACGCCACAGCTGCAACAGAAATGACAGGCTCCTTGCCTTGGGTGACTACCATAAATAGACCAAGGGCTTGATTCAGAAATGCCAGTGTGAAAACAAGGAATTTATCTTCATTTTCACTGGGAAAATTGCAGGACTGGAGAGAACTAACACCAGGGCAGGCAGAGAGTAAGAAAGTAAGTGATAAATCATAAAATGTGACTACAGATGCAATAACAAGAGATCCACTCACAGAAAATCTAAATACATTTAAAATACTGAGGGGGGAAAAAAAAAAAAGCACCAAGCCTAATACAGACTGAACACTGAAATAAATATCGTTTTTGGAACTTCTGAGCAGTTCTGCACCACTTTGGGGAGAGGTGAATGGCATCTGTGAATTCACAGAATCACAGAATGGCTGAGGTTGGAAGGGACCTCTAGAGATTATCTAGTCCAACCCCCCCTGCTTCAGCAGGGACACCCAGAGCACAGGGCGGCATCCAGGTGGGTTTGGAAGACCTCCAGAGAAGGAGACTCCACAGCCTCCTTGGGCAGCCTGTGCCAGGGCTCTGCCACGCTCATAGTAAAGAAGTTCTTCCTCACCTGGAGATGGAACTTCCTGTGTTTCAACTTGTACCCATTTCCCCTTGTCCTGTCACTGGCCACCGCTGAGAAGAGTTTGGCCTTTTCCTCCCTACATTCACCCTTCAGGTACTTATATATATATAGATCAGATCCCCTCTCAACCTTCTCCAAGCTACACAGACCTAACTCACTCAGTTTCTCCTCATACGAGAAGAAACATCATACGAGAGATGTTCCAGTTCCTTAATCATTTTTGTTGCTCTCCACTGGACTCTCTCTAGAAGCTCCACGTTCCTCTTATACTGGGGAGCCCAGAACTGCCCCCAATACTCCAGGTGCGGCCTCACCAGAGCTGAGGAGAGGGGCTGGATCCCCTCCCTTGACCTGCTGGCAACACTGCTCCTGATGCAGCCAGAAGCCCATTGGCCTTCTTGGCCATGAGGGCACTGCTGACTCATGGCTAACTTGGTGTCCACCAGGACTCCCAGGTCCCTCTCCGTGGAGCTGCTCTCCAGCAGGTCAAGCCCTATTCTGTACTGATGCCTGGGGTTATTCCTCCACAGGTGCAGGACCCTGCACTTGTCCTTATTGAACCTCATGAAGTTCCTCTCTGCCCAATTAATCTGCACCCTTCTAGGCAGCAGATTACCACCTCTTACCTCCAATGCTTTTCTAACATGTTTTCGAACTCTGAGTTCATTCTCTTCCCCTTTCACGTACCGCCCTTGGGTTACCTTTTACACTTTGTCTTAAAACTTTACCTTGCAAAACTAATAATAAACTTTTCTGTTATTTCTTATCTCATTCTTGATGACTGACTTGATGACAGATGAGGATTTGAATGTCTCTGAAATTACTGTATGGAAAATAAAGGCAATGTGTTCTCATCAGATACATGAAAAACAATACTATAGCAGCTGATATTCTCAGTTCTGTGATATAGCTACATTTGCATATAGGTAGCTGCTGTTATATTTGGTCATAAAATTAAAGCATAAACACATGCAAGTTTTTCTCCATTCCCTTCAGCATGCTTTACATTACCCAAAATAGCAATCAAGACACTAAGCAAGTCACTAGTTGGAATATTATTCGAAATTTCTCTCCAGTGTAATGGAGTTCCATAAAGAAGTGCTGGCAGTATTGCTGCCACGTTTGATGTTATTAAATTGTGGCCTCCTGAATAGAGATAGCTGATATAGCCCCATTATCTGAACTTCTTTTCATTGCTGTCTGTGAAATACAGAGATTTGGGGAAGCTCATCCGAAATAACTACATGGCTTTATTCCAGACAACAGAAAACATTCTGTGAGGAAAATTAAGACACAAAGTGAGTCATAATCAAGTCTTTTGGAATAGGAACAGTCAGAGTTCTTCTCCCATTACTACTTAGTCCAAATAAAAACTCTACTTGCTTTGGCTTTAAAATGTAATTTTCTCACTTGATGCCTGTTCTGTGAGTCTAAAGTGCTTTGTATATACACACCTTTCACCCCTTCCCTCCCTCAAGATCATGCTTGTAGAAACAAAATAGATATAGACTAAACTTCTAATATTTAACCATATTCAGAGTACTCAAAAATACACATTCTTAATACCTGTAGTGGTGCATTCATAATCAAAACTTGTCACATCGTTTAACTTCTTATCCTGATATTCTGCTGGACCAATACACAGGACATCAGAAACAGTGGAATTTGTCATCTTTAACCACAAAAACAGCCACTTGGCTTTGCAGTCACACTCAAATTTATTTCCCCTTAAATCTCTAAAAAAATACAGAAATAAACATATTTGAAAAGGTTGATAACAATATGAATACTATATAACTGTTGGCACCTCAATATACTGAATTTAAAAATATCTCATGTAGTTTTGAGTAGAGAACAGGAAAGAATTCATATTTGAGCCTGATCTTAGTATGTACACGCCTCCTCCACTCAAATATTGCCCTTGGAAAAGTGTTTCAAGCTGGGAAGTAAGCCTATGTACAATCTTAAGCACAGACAACTGTGATTCATGTATAAAGTCACTTATATCTGCAAGTTTTCAAAGGTGTAGGGCATAACAACTGCTCACAGTGTGGTTTGCTGCTGATGATGACAGAGATAAATCCCACTGCTGCAATAAACCACTCCAGCAGCACGGGCTGACAGAGCAGACTCGCCAGTACAATTTCAGTGTTGCATTAAAATACAAAGATATTTGAAATAATAATGGGGGGCTTATATTTTTAATGAGTCACTGCTAATGTGAAGTCCAGTCAGTATAATATCCTCCCACCAATGTATGGAAGGTTCCAAATACTGTACCTGCTCTTCAATCCCTTGACAATCCTTATGGCTTACAATCATACTTTGCTATTTCGGAGAGCCAGGCCAAAAATAGGGGAAGCTGACTTGCTGCTTAGTTGTACAAGAAAACGCTGACAGTAAGTCAGCAATGTGCTACCCACTGCACAATTGCACCAAAAGAAATACATATATATAAAAAAAATAAATTAATGACTTTTGCTAAAATAGTCTCAGGGAATACTCTAAAAAATAACAGGAGAAAATGGTATGAAAAATTGTAATCATAAAATTTAGCCTCTCTTTTGCTAAACAAAATTGATGTGCAAGATCAGAAAAAGTACAATAATGCAAACTGTGTGCAATATCATGAAAAATAACGGTGATTTAAGAAACAGCAGTTATTTTAGGAGAGTCTACCAAGTAAATTACTTCAAAATGAAAAAAGATAGAATAACAAAACGCATATTTATTTTCGGTGTGGATATTAGATACAGCATCACATGAAAATAAAGAGAACTTATAACTCTGAGTAATAGAATCACAACAACAGGCAGTCAATAGAAAGATTTCATTACTTACAGTTCAATTAAAGAATCTAAGTCACTGAAGACATCCCTTGGCAGAGCTTTAAGATGGTTATTGGCCAAAGAACTACAGAAGAAAGTTAGCACTTAGTATCATTGTTATCTTGACCCTTACTAAGTATAACTTTACTTACATAATGTTAATTGGCTGATATCGCACAACTACTAACAGTGATCACACCTACTAGGAACATGCACAGATTAATTATTCTCATTTGGGAATGGTGATTGCTTTGAAACAAAGGTGACGTAAAAGAAAAAATAAAGAGAAAAACATATATTCTACCTGGAAAAAATCTTTGTGACATGTACAGAAATCACTGCATGTGCTGACAAGAAGCAGGAGTGTTAATCCCAAGCCTACAACACCAAGGTGGTATCAGAGGCAGCATCCACAGGTGAGGGCTGCACTTATGTCCTAACATAACTGTGCATGGGCACCTACACATGCTGCAGTGCTGCTGGAGCAGGAGTTTTTAAAGAACACTTTCTACACACAACTGTAATTTTACATTTGTGGAAAACACATTACCAACACTTTGAGGTAGCTGACAAAAACAGATAGAGGGAAATGTGGCATGAAAGCCACTTAGCTGCACCAAAGAGTTTGGGTCAAGTACAAATTGCTCTACCCAGTGTTAAATAACTTACAGGTGAGTTAGGTCTCGAAGGCCACGAAATGCATTTCTTGAAATGGTTTGAATTTTGTTTCCTTCAATGAATCTAGGCAAAAAAAAATAAAACAAAATAAAAAATAAAAAAGTACTTTAGAAAGATTTTAATTAACACTATTATTAGCATCATGGTAGTTTTAACTTATGGCTTCCAAGATCAGCAGTTTCCTGGTAACCCTTCAGACTTGAAACTGAGGGAGTCTCAGTGGAGTCACTCACATTCCCTATTCCCCTTTCCTCTGTTAAAACACAAGGAAGGATGCAGGTACGAGGCAGGACAAGAGAGAGGACAGGACAGAAAGATCCACCAGAAGAAAAACAAAATGAACAAAAAAACCAAAAACAAAACAACAAAAAAACATTATTCCTCTAGTACTTAATCCTCCTATACAGTTTGGTGTGTGAGGAAAGAGACCTGGGGAAGAGAAGCTTCTGACATGGACTTTAGATGGACCTGAAGTCCTACCTTCCGTTCACAAGCTGCCCAATTTTAAAATCAGAGGGCAGCAGAGAGGTGCAAGTGCTTTATGGGCTGCAGATGACTCTGCTGAGGGCAGCTCATGCTCGGGCAGTGCTGGGGGTGCCTGGGCTACTGCACAGAGCGTTCAGTGTCAGTGCAGCAATATAGCCAGCAGGCTTCCAGGCCACTGCCACTGCAGTGATGTGGACTTCTGGAATCCCACATATCCCAAAGAGTGGAAAACGGCAGGACTGCTGCCCAAAAGCCTTGTTTTTCCCCATGTTGCCACATGCCACTTCTCTGCAGCAGTGGAACCAGCCCTGCAGGACACACAGAGGTAACAGCCCTGACTTTTGTGAAAATAAGTTGGGTCACCTATAGATTGTAGGAAGGTGCTGCTAGGCCTAACAGCATGTCAGTGTTTAGAGAAAGAGCTGATGCTGGAGCATCTTGTCCCCAGAGCAGCTGAGGCACCATCAGCCTGGCCAAGCAGGCTGGCGAGGCTGCCCAGTGACCACCAGGATACTGCATGGCACGGGTGTACCTGGATGCAGAAAGCCACACAATGGCTTTAAAAAGTTCTGTGGGATGGAACTGTCTCCCTTGTTTGCCTTCCAGGCACCCCTGTTTGTCTTCCAGGGAAACAAGGGTAGAACACCATAAGCCCAGGTCTCTCCTCGAGCGAGCCAAGGTGGGCAGCAGCCCTCACAGGGATGCAGGAGATGAAGTTAATCTTCAGGGTACCCCGAGTGCTGCTCTTACTGCCCTAGCCGTGGTACTGTGCCTGCAGCTGCTGTTGTGGGAGCTGAAGGGCTCTGTGCTGCTGAAGGGGGTCTGTGCTGCTGAAGGGCTCTGTGCAGCTGAAGGGGGTCTGTGCTGCTGAAGGGCTCTGTGCTGCTGAAGGGGGTCTGTGCTGCTGCAGGGCTCTGTGCAGCTGAAGGGGGTCTGTGCTGCTGAAGGGCTCTGTGCTGCTGAAGGGGGTCTGTGCTGCTGAAGGGCTCTGTGCTGCTGAAGGGGGTCTGTGCTGCTGCAGGGCTCTGTGCAGCTGAAGGGGTCTGTGCTGCTGAAGGGCTCTGCTGTGGACGCTGCCTGGCTGCTCCTCGCCCAGCGTCTGTGCTTAGTGCACAAAGCGGCTTCTTGTGCTCACGTGGCACTGGGTTGCCACTCTCCCCAGAACAGCTACGCACCCATAGCTGTGGGGCACGGGCTCCTGCGGCTGTAGCGGCATTCCTGCTCCGTGTGGGGAGGGGGAAAGGGAAAAAAGAAAAAGAAAGGCAAGAAAGAAATAAGGCTGCTCACTGTGGGCTCCCAAAAGGCTGAGGGCAAATCTGCTGGCAAGAGGAAGTACTTTGTGGCTTTGGCAGGGAGAATGACAACAACCATAAACTGAGAGCACTTGTTTGGCTGTAATCAAAGGAGATTGAACTGCAAGGTTTTGATCAGACTTAGCTCTGTTCTCTGGTTTGCAAATAGCTGTCAGGGGCAGAAATTTTCCCTGTGATCAGCTGAGCAGGGGCAGGGTGTTTTTCTTGCAGACATGGCTCTGGCTGCAGTTACCCCTGCGCCTCTCAGCAGAGCTCAAGCTACTGTAACAAGCTCCATGTGAGGCTCCCAAGCACCTGAAAGCTGAAGTAAGTCCGTCTGAAACAACCTCAGAATATTGGCGTTTTTTTTTCCTTTTTCAAGCATTCTGCAAATTACTGTTTTTACAGTTAGACACATGAGAAAAGAATGATTAGATAACTGCTGCTAATAAATGCTAGTGAATGATAAACGCTGAGAAATCTAGGTGTAGCTGAATCACATATTTCTGCATATACTGTGTACAGAAGCCACTTCTTCTCGGTCTGTTAATCCTATTGCTGGCTACTCCTCATGGAGCATTAGTCTTGGATATACCCCATCTTAACACCTAGTTTCCTGCAAGACTTTAGCAAGAGTCAGCTTTGTGAACATAGCTGTTCCTAGAGAGGACAGACTTTTCCACAGTTACCTTTCAGCACGGAAAGATGGGTGGAAAGATTAATCTTTTGCAGATCACATTGAGAGTTTCAAAACATACCAGCTCATTTCCGGTAACACAGAGAAATGGCAGTCCTTTGGAGTATGAAGTGAGGACAACCTGGGACCAGGGCTAATACTTTTTTTTAAAAGAAAAAAGGGTGACCTAAAAAAAAAAAATTGGGAAATGAAAGTAATGTAAAAACCAATGAAGAAGCAAAGTAAGCTAAGAAGAAGAAAGTTAAATAAATTTAAATAAGAATATAAATAAGAATATAAATAAGAATATAAATAAGAATATAAATAATTACAATATTTTACATTATATGAAATATATGTTTATATATTCATATAGTCATAATTATTTATACTATAAAGATAAATGCCACAGGCATTCAATGGGGTGTCAGAACAAAGGGGAAGGTGGAGAGGAAAGGTGGGGAAAGAGAACCAGTCTGGCGACCAGGGTGGCTCTGGGCAGGACAGACACTCTGCAACTCCTCTTCGGGCTGACGATGGGCAGCAGAGGTTTCAACAACTCTTTCCTGAGACTCAAAACTCCTTGACCATGATGGCACTGTTCTGCAAATCCAGGACAAGCTCTTGCTCAGCAGGACTTATTCAGTGCACTGTAATTACTCAGAGCCACCTTGCACTCATGGCATATTTTTAAAAAATCCACTGCAACCTCTAAAAAAAGAAAAAATGGTAGGCAACCATAAAGGACATTTGCACAGAAATGGAATATAAATCCCCTCGTTCCGATGCTCCTGGTAATCACAGTAAGGACTATTACTCCTACCCAGGAGTCTAGGCAACTTATCAAAACATCTTGATTTATAAAGGACAGGGGAATCATAAAATACCAAACTTACAAGTATTCTAGATGGAAGAGACCAGCAAAGGCATCATCTCGGATAACAGTGAAGGAGTTAGAGTTCAGCAAGCTGAAAATGGAGAGCAGGTGTTAGGAAAGCACATTAAAACTCGACACCCTGGATTCCACCAGTCATGTTCACTGACCACAACCAGAGTAATCTTAGGGACTCAAGTTCATGTCATCGTGTTCTTGCAGCACCTGTGAAATACTGTGGGAAAAACCCCTGCTCCATGGGCTGCCTTGCCTGGCTCGGCATCTTTAGGGACAAAACGTGGGAGCAGCTGCTATCGGAGCCTTGACAACGAGGCCCAAGAGAGAGCAGCTAAGCTCCTTTTCTGCCAGCAAAGCTCTTCTCTGCTCCACCAAAGCACAGAGGTAAGCTAGGTCCAATATTTATGTTCAAAGGCAAAAACTGCTACCTCGCCTTCAGAAAACTGCTCAGCTTCTTAGCCTGAAAACCAAAACCTACTCAACAGAAGTCATTTCCATGCAATCTCACCCAAATTTTCAGCTGCAAGTGAGTATGTTGTATGAAGCGCAGTGCGGTAGTCACTTACTAATCCTCTTTTTGTAGGGCTTTAGGCATTTTACTAAAATTAACTTAGGACTAATGAACATGAAATGCAAACTTTCTCTGTGATCCTGGTTATTATACTAATACTAGACAAATGCTCCTTAAATTATCTCAAAGAAATCTGAGAAAGACTCAAGACTGCAATGAAAAATAAATCCTTGCGTCACCGCTCTACCAGGGCTGCTGCCACAGCAGATAGACTCCTGGTGCATAGAAGTGCTTGGATCAGCATTTTTTTCTTCTGTAACTTAATCATTCCTTTTCTCATGCAAGCTTAACGATTATGCTAATAAAAAAAAACCCACCAGGGCCCAAGGTGGTGGTGGTGGCTACAATCCTACCTTGTTCCCGCATCTGAACTACTACGTAGAAGCTCAGCTTCTGCCTTTCCCCACTCCCTCCCAAAAGAACCCAACTTTTCTTGCTGGAAACCCAGTATATCTAAAGAAAATGAACAACCTTTTGCAACTTTTCCTACTACCACTATCTAAAAGAATTCCCTAATTTGCTATTTTCCACCCTTGCGTTCTCTCAGGCCACTCTGGGATTCATCGAGATGACAAAGGTCTGATGTTCCTCACATTCCTGGTGGGTCAAGTCCTCCCAGGGCACTGTACCGGCCTGAGTGCCAGCAAAAACTTCGCTTTGGGCTTAGCTGATGCCCAAACACTCTGGGGACATCCTATGTTTCCCCAAGGAGGCCAGAGCAGACATCCTAAGACCATGCTCCAATCTCAGGCCTGACCCATACTTCCATGGAAAGGGACTGGAGACCACCGGCCTTCCTTCCCTCGGGGAAGCTCTTTACCTGCGGGAGGTTAGAGGTTTCTCACATCAGAAACCACACCAGTGCAATGGCAGAGGCGCTTTCCCCATGCACTACCCCAGGACAGCTGAGGTGGATGGAGGTAACCAATGACTTGGTTGGCTGTCTCCAAGACCCCAAACACCCAAATCTCTCATCCCCCAAACACCCAAATCCCAGCCTGTGTTGCCCAGTGCTCAGCTAAAGCGGAAAAAGCCCCTACGCTGGCTCTGCCCCTTCTCCCCATGCTTCCCATGGGATGGTGCCCCCACAAGCAAGCAGCCCATGCCTGTGGGAACCAAAGGGGACATGGGTGCTGCAGGCTGCTGCACGTCACCCTGCACAGGCCTTAGTCCTCCCGCCCGAGGCTCGTTTTAGCTTACAGACCAAGGCGCTTCACGCGCGGGCGCTTGGTCCCGTGTCTGCTCGGGCTCCCGGGCGCCCAAGGCGAACGTGAGTGTCGCCGGAGCAGGAGCAGCACGAGTAGCACGAGCAGGTAAGCTCTGCGCCCAACTTCAGGTGCCTGCGCCTTGAATGAGCGCTTGGCAGCGCCACAAGCAGCCTGTCCTCCTGTGGAGGAACAGCGCGTGTCCTGTCCTCCCGTGGAGGAACAGCACGTGTCCCGTCCATCCGCAGAGGAACGGCGCGTGTCCCGTCCTCCTGCCGAGGAACAGCGCGTGTCCCATCCTCCCGCGGAGGAACAGCACATGTCCCGTCCATCCGCAGAGGAACGGCGCATGTCCTGTCCTCCTGCCGAGGAAGGGCGCGTGTCCTGTCCTCCCGTGGAGGACGCACACGTGTCCTCGGCGGGTGACGCTGCCCTCGCGCGCGGCACACGTGTGCCTCGGTCTCCCTGAGCATCCCGCCAGCTCGGCGCCCGTGCGGCGCAGGGCACTGCGGGGCCAGCGCGGTACTTACAGCAGCTGCAGGGAGGGCAAGTGCGAGAACATCCTGTCCTTGACTTCGGCGAAGGTCCCGTTAACGAGGCTCCTGGGGAAGGAGAAGTGAGGGCAGCGCC